AACAACAAACAACAACAACAGAAAAAAAAAAAGAAAAAGGAAAGGAGTTTGCTTGATGTTTTAGTGAAATGGACGTAAGATTTTATTCGCCACCTCCTCAGCCTGCAGCCGCTCCTGATACGCCTTGTTTGGGACCTTCCCCCTGCCTGGACCCCTACTATTGCAACAAGGTGACTCGCGTTTCGTGCCGCGCGAGGTGTTCGGCGCGCGAGCCGCGGCCGCGGAGCTCGGCGCGCCCCGGCCGAGCCGCGCTCCAAGTTTCCCGGCGGAGCCGGGCGAGGGGCAGGAGCAGGGGCAGGGGGAGGCAAAGGGCACCTCCGCCGGGGCCCCCCAAGCACATCCCGGGGCAGCGCGGTGCGGAGCGCGTGTGGGGGGGGCGCGTTTTCCCCAACGTCTTCCCGCGGAGCGGCGCGGAGAGGGATGTTCATGCGGGAGAGCTGGTTTTCCAGGTCCCCCGCTCTCCCAGGCACAACAACAACAACAACAACAACAAAAGGGACGCAGCGCGCGCCGCGGGCGGGACTCGCTGCCCCGCCGGGTGCCCGCGGCGCGGACACTGTGCGGGCGCGGGGCTCGCGGCGCTGTCCGCGGGCGCGCACGGCTGCGGCCGCCGCGCGCAATAAAAGCGGCTGACAAGTCCCGCGCGGCGCGGGGGGCTCCGCTTTGTCCCGCCGCGGCTCGTCCCTCCGTCGCTCGCTCAAATCGCTGCAAACGCGGGCTCAGGCGCTCGGGGGAGGCAAGTTTCGGCTCCCCGAGCCCGGGGGAAGGAGGGCGCCGGGCGCGATCGGGGCGCGATGCCGGGCACTTGGCAGGACTTTCGCAGCCCAGCGAGGGGGCCGGCGGGGCTCCGAGCAGGGGCAGCCCTCCCTGCTGCCGCGGGATGGGCTTTGCACGGGAATAAAGCGCTGCCCACGGGAAACAGGCACGCACGGGAGCGGCCCCGCGCGCGGGACGCGCCTGAGCGCGCGGCTCGCGGCGGCTGCGGTGCAAGCGCCGCGCGCGCCCCTCGGCGCGGGGCTCTGCGCGGCGCGGCGCGGGGCTTGCGCCGCCCGCAGCTTTGTTCGCTGCCGCCTATTGTGCGGGCGCGCTCCCGCGGCGGGGGGACGCGCCGGGATCCGCGGCCGGGCGGAACATGCGCGGCCCGGGCGGGGATGAAGGATCCCCGCATGGTCCCACCTACCACGCGCATCGGGAAGGACCGAATTCGTCCTGGCCGCAGCTCACGGGCGCCCAGTGGAGTCAGAGAATTCRGGGGGTAAATCCGGCCCGTTGTGGTGGATGCCTAAGGACATTTCGGGAGGGATCCCAGAGGTGCGGCTGTTAGCGGGCGGTTTAAGTGACTGCGCTTCGCGGTGCCTGCCCAGGCTGCCACGGCGAGCAGAAGTTTGTGCCAAGAGTGAACTTTGCTCCGCCGGGAGAGGCCGCGTGCCCTCCAGCCCGCGTGGGTGCAGGGAGCTTTTAAAGGGCTTCGAGTGTCCGCGAGGTGCTGGTGTTTTCTCTATCGCCTGTTCTTGCGAACTGCAACCGCAGAGCGTTGCCAAGTGCGAAGCTCGGGCTGGAATTAATGCCCTGAGCACCAAAGTGTCGGAAGACCCATTTGGCAATGAAACTGGACAAACGTTATTAAACCTATCAGTGATTTAAGGCTTCAAAAAGAAGGTAATGGCTTGAATACACATTTCACTCATCATTCTTGAGATAGTGGGGCCAGATTTAATTTAAAAGTTAAATGCTTTGGAAAATCAGGAATTACTTCAATATATTAAATCATTTTCCAATTAAGTTCCTTAAATCATTTTTGGTGGGTTGCACTGCAAATCAAATAAATTAATTTAGAAAGTCGTTCTTAGAATTTCCTCACTAGCTGGTTAAAGCTTCTTTTAAGTCATGCCATGTATGAAGGAGCAAACTGTTCTTTTTAAATGCAAATGAGACACTCATTCAGTAGACAAGTTGCAACTCTTCTATTTCACTTTGCCCGAACTGATAATGTACTTAAAAATGCCCAGTCATAAGACATATGTTTTATGCTTGGGAAAGACTTAGGAGGAATGCTCCACGTAGGACACTGAGCATAGGATGAATGTCTCTATCAGATGTCGTTGCCACTGCCCGTCGATTATATTAAATGGACGGGGTAGGTTTGCAAGGGCCCCRAGAGGCGAGTGCTTGCTGCACATTTCATTTTTCACCCCCTTCGCTCTCTGCCTTCGCCCAGCGTGATTAACATCGCTGTGAAAACTTCTGTGCCTTGTTCTGAGCATGGAGCCGTGTTGCAGCGTTGCTCTGTCACTCCTGGGCACGCTGCCTGCGCAGGCCGGTTGCAGGGGGGCCCGCAGAAATGTGCTGAAGTTTGTGCTGGGGAGGTTTGCGCTCGGTCTGCGCTGGGAGAGGAGGAGGTGACGGCAGGCRAGCGGTGGGTGCATCTCTCTGGAGCAGAGGCTGGGTTGATTAGCTGTTTAGCTGTGTCTAAATGCCGCCGAAAGCCCCCCAGAACTGGAGCCTGCACTTGCAAAGTTACCAAGAACTTTCTTTGAGCGCGGGTGCTGGATTTGGCCCTTGTTTTCATAGTTGGGGGGTTTTCTTTAAAATGTTGATGGAGATTTTGGTGAACTTTGTGTGTAAGACTACTCGAGCTGCCGATAGTTTGGAGTGTATTCCACAAATACTTCGGCTTTTAAGTTTTATAAATGCTCTGCTAATACTGGGATTTTTTTTTCCCTCATCAAATGATGGTTCACATAGCGTGTGAGTGAGTTTGCAAATCCATGTTTTGGAGCTCCTGACAGCGCATTTTACAGCCGTCAAATGAAAATGCARGAGTGTACATTCAAACAGTCCCGTCTTATCTGTCTGTGTTCAGCTGGCAGCCTTTGTTTCAGGAGACTGCTCAGATCTTTAGTTTGGAAACCTAAAGCAGCCTCCTCAGCATCTTCGCCCTGCATTTCTGCCTGTGCTGGGCAAGCTCCTTATCCGCAGCATGTCCTGCTCCACGGGCTGTTCCTCGTGGCTCTCCTGTTCCCCGTGGAGGGAGAAAAGTGAGAGAACAATGCAAACAACGTGGTTTATGACAACGGTGCGAGGTGTCTCTTATGCAAACAGGCAGCCCGGCCCGTGTGTTGCTGCATGGAGCGCAGCCTTGGCAATAGCAGCGGAGCTCTTAGGCTGGACAGGCAGATTTAGGGTTGGGGTTAGTCCTGGTCGCCTCTCGGAGCTTGAGGCGTAATTGTGTTTCGGGTATTTACAGGCTAACACGAGCAGTCTGCTCAGCTGAAGCTTATTTTAGGGAGGATCACTTTCCTTAATTGAGATGAGCATTACAAAAGAAATAACTTGGATAATGATAGTGTATTAATTCAATAGTAGAATATGGCCGGGGATTTTGAAGTACTGGCAGAAAACAGATTAAAAGTTCAAATGTTTACGCAGAGAACAATAAATACAATTATATATTTTTTTTTGCTTTTCTTATTGAAGTGTTACCCCAAAGATTGCATCTGTCAGTACTTTAGGAAAAATAGGTGTATTTTCATACTTGTAGTTTTAGAGCGTTTTCAGATATCTTCTCCCATAAAGTGCAGTTACATAATTATGGTTTGACACAGCTAATGACAGGGATGCTGACCCCTGCCAACAGTGGGGAGAAAATAATGGTCTTTACTGCTCCCAATGGTTAGCTGGGCAGAATTATGCACTAGATTCTTCTGTGATTTGCTACCTGGTTCAAAAATAAAGGCACCTACAACTCATATTTCTTGTACTCACTGGTAGTTGTCAATGCAGTGGAAAAATACAGCCAGAGAGCAGAGTTAAAGCGATAGAGTTGCTTTCAAAAAGAGGGATACACAGGAAAGAAAGAAAGAAGAGTGAAGAGGAAGCAAAACTCATCAAAATGAGAAAAAGCAGAGCAATAGTGGGCAAAAGCGGATAGGGAGGTGCAGTACAGTTCTTTGAATACTGCTGGTAGCTAGAATTGCATGGGCTAAAAATACGTATATTTTCATACAGCATTTAGAATAATTTGTTGTGTAAGCTTAACCCCAGCAGAGAGGATACTCTGCATCAAATGCTCCATGGCTGTTTACAAAGTGGATTGTTTTCAGGGGCTCACTGCTACCCGCTGCATCTCCAAAATTCAGAAACTAAATTTGGGAAAGCCAGCACTCTGAAAGACAGCTGAGTTGTTGTGCCACTGATTTGGCAGAATTTTAGTTTATGGTGACATAATAGATGCAKCATTTATTTATTTATTTCTGTTTTCYCCCTTAGATGAGATTTAGATTTCCCCTTTAGATTTAGATTCCCTTTAGATCAGATTTTGATTTCCCCCTTCAGAMCAGACTTGRAATGTGTTGGTGCTTCTTTAAGAAACCATTAAACAGTGACATTACTTAAAGAAAAGGTGAAAAAGTTACAGYGTCCGTTGCTGATTTTTAAAATATTAGGCCCTTTAGTTAGGTTCAAAAAATGCTACATGGAAAGGACTAAGATGAACTTTTCTTTGATGAGTTACTATACCTTCCTGAGACTGCAGCCTCAGAAATACAGACAAACCTCAAATATGCCTTAAATCCTTAAATTCCAGTGTTTCAGAAATGCTGTCGTCCCAGTTTTGGTGGAATATAGAAACTGATTTATGGGTGCRTTTTTGAGAAATCCATGTTCTGATGTGTTACAAACCAAAGCATTCACAGCCGCTCTGCCTTTCTGGGGAGGGCGGGAGGGGGCAAACATAAGCACTTTGAGAAAAAAACAGATTTTAGTGTTTTCCCAGAAAGGACGTGTTTTATCTTTAGCACTTTACCCGCAACCAGCCTCTGATGAGGTCTACTGAAAAAAAAAAAAGGGAAAGCCATAAAGGACTGGGAATGCCGGATCCGAAGGGCGCTGCGGTGGGGCGCCGGCAGGGCCTTGGTGGCTGCATTGAGCCGGAGCGTGTTCACAGCGAGGACTTGGTGCCGGGCGGCCCGGGCAGCCTCGGCGCCGCTGAGTTCGGGGCGTCCTGGGGATGGCCACAGTCCGACAGGAGCTGCTGGGCACCCTCCTGCCCTCAGCGCCCCGCTTCAGCAGCACTTTTCCCCAACACCGCACGGAAGCGTGAGAAGGTGATTTCTGTTAAGCAAAGCAGTGTCCACGGTATGATTTAGATCCAGTTGGGTATTTAAATCTT